CTCCTTGTTTCCATTAAAATTAATGGCAAGGTTTATTTCCCTAATTGTTCCACAGCCACCTCCATCCCCATTTCGCTTTTTGCCGCGGTCTTTAGACAGTGGAGCGACTACAGGCTTGAATGTGGAATTTTGGAAGCAACTGTCTTTCATCAGGCTGGGCTGATTAATGGGTATGGATAAAGTGAAGAATTTGTAAATTTTCTGGAAAATGCGCTCCAAGTTGCAATCAGAAGGCTTGTTCCACCCAAAAACTAACTCAACTTCTCCGCGTCTCAAACTTACCCTTAGAACGCCTTGCGTTGCATGCAACCTTCGCAGTTCTTTGGAACAACTCCCATAAATAAACCTCCCAGGCCAGATTCCCGATTTACACCTCCGAAACGGACTGTTTACTAACTTAACTCCTAACTTGCACTCTATTTGTTCTAAATGCCACTTATCCCCCCGTGTTATTTGCCAGGATTCGAATAAATTCGTAGCCGCAGTTTGCCAGGTTTTAAGTTGCTTGCCATGCCACCGGTGTTTTCCAGATAAAACCGATCAGAAATCCTGTAAAACTCCACAAGGTTTATGGGTATGGGTCGGCTTCAAACCAAATGGTTGCGGTTTTTCGCTTTGGCCGTGTTTACATGCGGGCGGGAGTTCAGTTTTACCTTCACGTGCTGCGGTTTAGTGCCACCTTGGATTCCACTGCTGTTTCCTGTTTTATTGTCAAATATTTAGGGCTTATTTTGATGTTATCTGGCATGAGCCGGAGGCTTTTTAAGGTATTTAGAGGTTTTCAGGACGTTTTCCTATTCGTTGGTTTGCTACGCCACTGGAGAGGGGTTTTTCTTTGTTAGTGTTGCAAAGTTGACTCTAATGCCAGTCTTCCCTGATATTTGGTAATTTTTGCATACTGAATATAATAAGGATTTTCAAACATTTATTTCTTGCAAACAAATCCAGGCAAAAAAGCGCTCGGTACTTGGAACTGTACACTGGAAAAACCGAACTTTCCTGTAGAATCATCTTGAAGTTGACTTTGATGCTAGATTTATCTGGCAATTTTTATATACTTAGGTGCGCTTGGATAAGAGAACTGATTTCCTATCTGACGATTTGCACACTGGTTTTCTAAAATGTATTACTCGCCAACGAGAGCACGCAGAAAATCAGTTGTTGAAAGCCTTTTGAAAGTTCAAACCTTTATTTATTACTACCACAAGGTTGACTGTATCGCCAGTTTTTTCTGCTATTTGGCGATTTTTTAATGCTGATATGCGCCTCGATTAGAACACCGATTTGTCAACCGACGGTTGGCAAACTAGTTTAAAAACATGTATTTCTCGTAAACCAGCACAGATAGAAAATCGCCGCTTATGCAACTAGAAAGTGTGATCCTTTCTTTATTTCCGTCGCAAAGTTCATTGGAATGGCGGTATAGCCTTGTATGTGACGATTTTTTGTTTACTGAGGTGCGCTTGGATAATAAAACTGACTTCTCGACCGACGGTTGGCAAACTGATTTTCAAAATTTTATTTCTCACGAACTAGCCCCACTAAAAAAATTATTCGTACGCCACTGGTAAGACTGAATTTTCATTAATGACTACCGCAAAGTTGACGCCAATGTCAACTTTTCCTGAATTTTTTCGATTTTTTATACACTGAGGTGCACGTGCATTGGCAGATTGATTTATCGAAACTGATTTTCCAAAACTTACTTCTCAAAAAGTTATTGCCGAATTGAATAAAATAAGCACCGCTTTTTGCTCGCATTTTTTATCTTCTGCGGTGCGCTTGTATTAGAACACTGATTTGTCGATCGACGCTCTAAAAACTTATTTTCAAAAATGTATATCTCTCGAACTAGCCAAGATGGAAAAACGCTTGTTATACTTCTCCAAATACTAGACTTCTCTTTATTTCTGATCCAAAATTCGCTTTCATGCGACTTTTTCCTGAAACTCAGAAAGTTTTGGTATACCAACGTGCGCTTGGATAAGAAAACTGAGTTCTCGAAGGACGTTTGGCAAACTGACGTTTAAAAAGTGGTTTCCCACAAACTAGCATCGCCAAAAGAATTATTGGTACGCCACTGTAAGTACTAAATTTCCAGAATTTTCGCCAGAAAGTTGAGTGAAATTCTAGATTTCACTCGGATTTGACGTTTTTTTTCTGTGCTGAGGTGCGCTTCTATCAGAACACTGATTTGTCGATGAACGGTTTGAAAACTGATTTTCAAAAATATATTCTTTACAAACCATCCCACTGGAAAGAGTAAACCTTCTTCTATTATTGCGGAAACGTTGATTTACATATCAGTTTTTCCTAATATTTGACGATTTTCTATTTACTGAGGTGCGTTTGGATTACAAAACTGATTGGTCAACTCACGGTTGGCAAACTGATTTTCAAAATTTTATTTCTCACAAACTAGCCCCGTTAGAAAAATTCTTCGTACGCCACTGGCAAGACTGAATCTTCGTTAATCACTACTACAAAGTTGACGCTAATTCCAGGTTTTCCTGGAATTTTTCGATTTTCTATGCACTAAGGTGCACATGCATTGGCAAATTTATTTGTGGAAACTGATTTTTAAAAATGAACTTCTCAAAAACTGGTCCCGCCAGAAGAATCTTTAGTACGCCACTGGAAGGACTGAATTTTCCTGAATCATTGCCAAGTTGAATAAAATGCCGCTTTTGCTCGCATTTTTTATCTATTGGGATGCGCTTGGATTGGGACACTGATTTGTCGATCGAGGTTCTAAAAGCTGATTTTTAAGAATATATTTCTCGCGAACTAACCAAGCCTAAATAGCGCGGCTTTCACCATTAGAAAGACTAGACTTTGTTTTATTATTGCCGCAAAATTAATTTCGAAGCGGGTTTTTCACAGTATTCGACAATTTTTTGCATACCAATGTGCGCATGGATAAGGAAACCGACTTATTGACCGACGGATGGCAAACTGAATTTCAAAAATGTATTTGTCCCAAACCAGCGCATCCAGAGAAATCATTGGTACGCCATTGAAAATACTGAAGCATCCTGAATTTTTGCGGGAAAGTTGAATGAAATCCCGCAATTTACTCGCAATTCGCGATTTTTTATCTAATGAGGTGCGCTTGTATTAGAACACTGATTTGTTGATCGACGCTTCGAAAACTGATTTTTTCGAAAACGTTTATTGTTTCCGAAATAGCCAAGATCACAAAGCGCTTGTTATACCCCTCGAAAGAACAGACTTCTGTTCATTTCTGGTCCAAAATTCGACCGACCTTTGGCAAACTGACGTTCAAAAATTCGTTTCTCGCAAACCAGCAACTCCACAAAACTGACTGGTATGCCACTGGAAAGACTAAAGTTTCCTGAATTTTCGCCAGAAAATTGAGTGAAATTCCACATTTTACTCGAATTTGGCGAGTTTTTCTCTACTGAGGTGCGCTTCTATCAGAACACTGATTTGTCGATCGACGGTTTAAAAGCTGATTTTCAAAATTTTATTTCTCACGAACTTGCCCAGACAAGAAGGCGCTTGATACACCACTGAAAAGACCGGGATTATGTTTATTATTGGAGCAAAATTCACTTTGATCCGAGTTTTTCCTGCTATTGGGCAATTTTTTCTATACTGAGGTGCCCTTGAATTTGAAAATAAAACAGCCCCGCAAGAAAACAGTTTGGTACGCCACTGGAAAGACGGAACTTTTCTCAATTATTGTCTCAAAATTAATTTTATGTCCAATATTTCCTGAAGTTTGGCAATTTTTCGTATTAGCACTGATTTTTCGATCGGCGGTTTGCAAACGGATTTTCAAAAATACATTTCTCACAAACCAGCCGAGATGGGAAAACGCTTGTTTAAGCCACTGGAAAGAGTAAACCTTCTTCTATTATTGCAGAAAAGTTGACTGACACATCAGTTTTTCCTAATATTTGACGATTTTCTATACACTGAGGCGCACTTGCATTTGCGAACAGATTTGCCGACTTGTGGTTTGCAAGCTGATTTTCAAAAATTAATTTATTGCAAACGAGTCCAGATAGGAAATCGCTTGTTACGCCACTGTAAAGAGTATGCCATCGTCTGTAAGTGATAAAAAGCGGGCTAGGGCATTACGCCTTCCTGATTTTTGACAATTTTTTATGCACTGAGTTGCGCACTTGTATTTGCAAACTTATTGTCAACTGGCCATTTACAAATAGATTTTCAAAAAATTGTTTCTCGCAAAGGAGCCCAGATAGAAAAGTGCTTGTTGCGCCACTTTAAAGAGTCAGTTTTCCTCTATGAGCGGCCTACAGTCGAGTCCAATGGAAAGCTTTCCTGATTTTTGACGATTTTTCATATATTGAGGTGCACATGCATTTGCAAGCTGATTTTTAAAAAATGTTGAACCAACCAGCCTTAGCAGAAAAACGCTTGCTACACCTCCGGAAAGTGAAGAAACCCTTCTTCTATTTGATTCCAAAAAAGAAATGTAGATGAAACTCGGAAAAACTCGTCAGGTTCGAGCAATGGTCTCGAGAGCCAAATTCTATCATTTTGAGCTGTGCTGCTTGGGCCGGTCCAATATTTCCGACTTTTCTTTGCTCCTTTCAGTTTCCCTGGAAATTTCGCAGTTTTCCAAATGATCCTCTCCTTCCTCAGCACTGCCTCTTATAACGAAATCCCAGTTAAGAGAGTGTAAAGGCTGAGCGATTTGTAGAAAAACTGGTTAAAATCATTGAAATGGTCCATGAGCCGATCACAAATGACCAATCAAGACTTGAACCCTGACCCAGATGGGCAATTCGAAAATTCCCGATGCCGTTAAATCACTCAGGCGGCAATTTCCTCGGTTTTTCCTGTTTCTGTTTATGCTTGCCGACCGATAAGCCGCCTTATGGGCGCTTTCGCCTTGGCAGTAGAAATTCAGGACGGTCATGTTAAATCGCGAGAAACCCGCAAATTATAACAACGACGATTTTCCGAAGGAAAACTGTTTTTCTAATGGGTTTTCTTGTTGTTTTCAGCCTGGATGCTCGGCTGGTGGATGTGCAAAACTGTGCCCTACGTGCAAGGAGTTTCTGTCGCTGCTTCCGTCTATAGTTTAGTGGCTGTGTCGCTAGATAGGTAAGTTTTCAGGCCCTTAATTGTGCAAGGAATCAATGGCAATTTTCCGAAGGTAAAACTTTAATACGCGGGCTTACAAGGATAGCAAAACTGGCATTTATAATGAATAAATCAGTCAATCGATTCTCAGACGGACGTTTCCACATTTGAACTCCCCGAAAAAACACACTCGCTCACGCTCCATATAAATTCGCCTTGAAAAAAATGGAAACAATAAAGGCCCCAACTAACGGCAGCCCGAACGAAATTAATAAATCTTACAATAAATAAAATGCTGCCCTTTTCGGGCTTTCATTAAACGCCCCCCAACAAAGCCGGAATGCATTCGGGTTGTTGTAACTCACGTCGGAATCACTTGCAACCAGTTCAGTCCTGACTTTTCCTGTTCACCTTCACCCAATTTTGAGGCGAAATTGTATTTTTAATGCACGCTAAATCATTTTTTATTCGCTTGCAAAGTTACAAGTTGTTTGGCGCAGTCGGTAGACGATTAATGGATGAACAGGGGCTTGACAATAGGCGGTGGCAGCGGATGGACGGGCGTCAGCAGCGGCAGAAGCGGATCTGGATGCAGCAGCGGAAAGGGCAGTGGTGGCGGCACCATATGCGATACGGGGGCAGACCATCCAGGGGCGCAGCAAATCAGGGTAAAAATTAGCTAGAACGACATTCAAAAATTCACTACTTTGGAACGAGTTTAGGTAGGCAGGTGATTTTGGTGCCGGTTGATAGGAACAAGATGTTAAAACAAGGTGCGTAAATATGGGAAAGTTCTGTTTTTGGGGAAGTTGCTTTTCGCTTGAGATGGTATCCCCGGTTGAAAAATGCCCCCAATGACCTAGATGTGCATTTTTTCGGCACCTGAAGAATCTAGCTGAATAAAAAAATACTCACAAGCTTGTACATTTTGAAGAAGACTCACCAGCCAGCTTCCAAACAATGACGCAAATTAGCGAGGTGGCTTTACCTTTTATACTCCACGCATTCCGCGCTATTCCATCCTAGATGTCTGCATATTCCAGCCGGTAATAGAATTTCCATTAACCTTGCCAAGCAGACAATGGCTGGAAATGTGAAATAATTGGTGGAAAAATTGATTTTCCTTGCCAATAACAGAGCTAATTAAGCGTGAATGTCATCAGAAAACATTCTTGGGCTGCCGATGGATGCGAATCGGATTGTCTGATTTAGCCATTGTTGTTCGATTAGGCTTCCTTTGGAACTTTCTTAGTCGTGGTGGCGTCAGCAAATAGTTCGGTTGCTCTTCATTTAGATGACAGAGTTCCGTTCGGACGGGGTAAGTGAATTTTCCCAGATAGAAACCCCGAACTTTGAAAGTCATATTTACGTGAACTAACGATGGTATTCAAAGAATCGATGGCCAAAGGCTAAAGGCGAGAAAGTTGGCCTAAAGTTCCAAACGGTAATCTTTGCGCTGACAAAAAAAGCCTTGTAACTTTGCGCTCAATCATTTAAAGGTTTAAAGTGAGTCGTTTCTGCTGAAACATCGCCCTGAATTAATTCGAGGATTGAAAAACAATTCCATGCAAGTGCAAATGAGAAAACCCCGGATAGTTTTCCAGGCGCCGGACAGTGCGGCCACTCTAAACTGCTTTCGGGCATTTACCAGCAAAATCGCCCGAATTAAACGCCTTTTCAGTCAGTCTTGTACTAGAAAACGAACGAAGTTCTTCCTAATAAATTAAGCAGCTCAACAGGATTCGACACTATTCGCCTTCACCTTGTCACTCGCCCGAGATTTATCCCGCGTCCACACCAAATCCATAAATTACGCCAGGAAATGTTGCCTTAATAATAAAACCAGGAAAAAACGCGTGGATGAAATCAAACAAACATTTATTGGGGAAAACTTAACTTAATGGTGCACTAAAACTGGAGCTGCATGAACAACTGGAGCTGGATGAACGATGGATTGAGCCTGGATGGTCTTGGTGATGACTGGAGCTGAGTGCACAGCAACAATAGGAGCAGCTTTCACCACCGGGATCAAGGGGGTTTGTTTGATGAGAACAGGGGCGGTTTTCACCACTGGAACGACTGGAACGCTGTGGACGACTGGAGCTGGATGAGCCACCAGAACTGGGGAGCCGATGTATCCGGCGCTGGCAAAGGCCAAGGTGGCAACGATGATGATCTGAAAGCCCGAAAATTAGTTAAATTCGCTGAAAATTTGATTCGTTTAAGGCGCAGACTTGGGCCGGATTTGGCCTCGGATGGCCTAAACAGAGTGTGTGGGGTACTCGAAGAATTAGTTCGTCCATTGTGGGCGAACTAATGGTGGCACTCGGGGGTGGTTTTTTGTTTTGGAAAGAGCGCACTTTTCCATACAAACGGGAGAAGTTTAACTTTTGTACACTCATCAGCGATTTGTGGAATAGTTCGCAAAATTGAGCTGGATTGGGCAATCGAAATGCCAAATCGGGCGCGTGGTTATCCTGAAGTTAAGAGTCCAGTGTGAGAGAAGCAAAAGCGATCAACAACCACGCATCTCTGGGTTGGAAAGAGAGAGCAGTTTCTATTGAAGCCTCGAAAGGTTCATTTTTTCACCTTCCTCATGGATTTTTAGAAAAATTTGTTGGAAAGAAAAGTTGGGCTGAACGTGGCAATAAAGATGCCAAATCGCGCGAGTGGTTTACCTGAAGTTAAGAGTACACTGTTCTATACAAATACTCAAAGTTTCATTTTTGCGCCCTCATCAGGGATTTGTGGAAAAATTCGCGAACTTCAGCTGCATTCGGCCGTCAATAATCTAAAGTAAGCCCGTGGTTAACCTAAAGTTAAACGTTCAGCGTGAGAGAGCCAAGAGAAACAGACCAATAGCATTTTTTACTTTAGAAAGAGGGCACTGTCCTGGACAACTCTGCAAAGTTCTGTTATTGCGCCGTCATCACAGATTTGTGGAAAAATTCGCAAACCTGGAGTAGATTTCGACATCGAAATCCTTATGCGGGCGCGTGGTTTACCACTCACTGTGAGAGAGCTGAGAGAAACCAACCAGTAAGAATGTTTGCGTTAGAAAGAGAGTACTTTGCTAGACAAGACCTGAAAGTTTCATACTTGCGTCATCAGCAGGGATTTGTGGAACAATTCACAAAATTGGGCAAGATTTGTCCATCAAGTTTCTAAAGTGGGCTCGAGGTTTATCTGAAGTTTAGCATCCACTGTAAAGTAACCAAAAGAATCAGGCCACTAAAAAATTGTGCGTTGGAACGGGGGTTCTTTTTTGTTCAAAATGAGAAAGTTTCATTTTTGTGGCATCAACAGGATTTAGCCGAAAAATTCGCAAACTTGGGCTTGATTTGAGACAAGAGATTCCAAACAGGACGCTTGTTTTTCTTGAAGGGAAACGTCGATTTTGAGTAAACTAAGAAAGGCAGACCATTATAGCGTTATGTATTGAAAAGAGCCCATTTTCTAAAAACTATGTGAACATTTTAGTAATCAACCGTATTTCTTTGAGAAAGAAATTGGCAAAATTTTCAGTCGAAATTCTGTGGAAGAAAGTCGGGCAATTGAGAAGTTTTGTGTTGGAAGGGGCACACTTTTCTATAAAAGACCTGAAAATTTCGCTGTTGGTCCATCATCAGGGATATTGGGAAAAACGTGCAAATTTTACCAGAGGGACTGCAAATAAATCAAACATTTTTTTTTCGTTTAGATCAGCGTTTTTTCGTTTAAATAAAGAACCCAGACAGATTTGGGAATTTTCAATCAAACAGAGCACACTTTCCAATACACGCCCTCACGGTTTCGCTCGTGATCAGGGATTTTAACGAAAATTGTGTTCTTGAAGCGGGGTATTTTTAAACAAAAAAAAACTGTTCACCCAGCAGGAAAAAACCTTTTTAGTTCGCTGCGAGAATTTAATCCATCTAAGGGCACTTAAAATCACGGAACTTAAGCATCCAAGCGAAATAATCGCATAAAGGAATAATCAAAAATTAATCCCTGCAGCTGATCTGGCAGCTGGAAAACAACCATCCAGACTTACATCCGTCGCTTCAACTCCGAGTAATAACTCCCAGCTCCATTGTAACAATTAGTTTGACTAACTGGGTTAATTCGGAAGTTTTGTCGCACTTTTTGCCACATTAGCGGCGCTATTAAATCGCAACTTGCCGTCAAACCCGAGAAGTTCGCTTAGATTCGAGTGCAGGATTAAACATGTTCATGTTCCAAACATTTAAATAACAAGGCTTAGATCTAGACAACGGGAAAAAAATAGCTGATACTTACCAAAGCTTGCATGTTGGCTGTTGGATGAACTGAAGAAGTCGATGCAGCCAAAGTCGAGCCGGCTTTATTTATATCTATATGAAATCCCCGCCTGAAGAATACGTTTCAAGAGTACATATTGTATATGCGTAACCTTCATTGTCACTGGTTAATGTGAACTGGTGTTCCATTTTTTAATTGGATAATATTTGTTATGCAGTTATTTATCTTGAAGTCTCATTAAATCTCAATGTCTTCAGTTGAGACGGTTGAGCATAAAATTTCTACCAAACACAAGCACGAGCTCCTGGCATCTTCAGAGATGGCTTGCTCGAGAAATTTTTGAGAATTTGTATGGAAAAGTGTCCTCTTTACAGTAGCACAATCCGTATTTCCCGCGCACAGCCAGTTTTCCGGAATGCTTATGCAAGAGTTTTAAGGAAAATTCCCCAAAAATCCGCAAATGGGTTGATCGTCTTCAAATTTTGAGGGTTTGTGAGGAAAAGTGTCTTTTTGATTCGCGCAAATAGTACGATTCCATCTGCGTTAGGGCTAGAGCAATAAACGTTTAAAAATAATGTTGACTACAGCTGGTCTTACAAAACCCATACAGGTTGAATAAAAATTTGCCAAAAGTCTCCAAATTTTTTTAAGTTTCAGCACCTAAAGACACAAGTCCAACGTATCCAATCGAATAGCAAGCATCGTTTTATGTTGGTCCTGCATTCAGAAATGCATCATTGAATATTAATTTTCAAAATACTCAGACCAATGCTGAAATTTCTGAAAAAATCCCCAAAATCAGCAAAAATGCCAGTGAAATTTAAATTTTCAGCTCGTATAGCTGGAGGAACGCCTCGACTTTCAATTGGTATAACACACGGCTTTCAGCGAGGGCGAGGTTTCGAAAAATTAGTTATTTTTTCGACCAATTTTTAAAGTAGTCACTATTAGATCGGTAGTTTGTGTAAACATTCATAAAGAACATCAGCGAAAAATTCGATTGCATTCAAATTTCTGGAAGTTATAACCAAAAAGACTTTTACTCCAGGTAGCGTAACAGGCATTTTTATAACTGGAACGGTTTTAGAGGAAATTTTTTTTTCAAAGCAAATTTGCGCAGGTTTGCCAGTGAAAAACCCATGCAATCGGATGTGTATAAATTTGGCAAAAATTCCTCAAAAGTTAGATTTCATTGAAATTTTAGGTCGTTATAGAGAAAAGTTTGCTTTATCTAGTGGTGGAGCCAGATTCCAGTGACGTAGCAAGTGATTCGAAAGACCTATCTAAATCATTAAATATTTTTGTGCAACAAGTAGCTATTAAGGGGCGTATGCAGCCGCTTGTAAGAAAAATCGCAAAAAATCAGTGAAAAATCCAATTGAATTTTCAAACTCGCGATTTGATTGACACTTTAGGCAGTTATAGAGAAAAGTTGTTATATCCATGGTTATTATATCTTATATATGTCTTATATCCATGGGTATAGTGGTGGAACCAGATTCCCGTGGCGTAACAAACAATTCGACAAATCCAAATAATTAAATCTCTGTGTATGTAATGTGTGTATACATGCAAATTGGCCAACATTTCCTAAAAATCCTGTTTGATTGAAATTTTAGACAGTTATAGAGGAAAGTTTGCTGTATCCAGTGGTGGGTTTAGATTCTAGAGGAGCAGCAAGTGATTCGAAAAATCCATAATTAAATCTCGTTTTCCAACAAGTAGCCATTAAGGGGCAAATGCAGCCGCTTGCAAAAAAAATCGCAAAAAATCAGTGAAAAATCCAATTGAATTTAAATTGTCGTCTCGCATAAAACAAAGTCTCCTCTTTCCAGTGGTGTGAGAAACACCCTTGTAAAGGGGCAACTTTTTTAACTGAGTTAAATTTAGTGTAAGCTTTAAGCTTCCCAGAAATCTACTCTAGTTATTTGCGCTGTAAAAAGACCGAAAAAATCGCCAGCTTCAAGGACTCAGAGCGAAATCTAGATGTTTATTTTACGTCTGGTTAAAGTCTAGAATAGAAGAAACTAAGCAGAACTAGAAGAATCGAGTGGTTGGAGACAGAAGGTCGAGGGGACAGGCGTGGATTATAAGCAACGACTTTCCCCTTTCCCTTCTATCTCTGCCACTGCAGCAGCAAAAGAAGGAAACTGACCAACCAGAAGAAGAAACTGAAAAATAATCAGAAGATGCCTAATCCTCAAATGCTAAACAAATTTGTTTTCTGTTGCGTTAATCTCGAGATGCTGGATCTTTAGCAATGCATTACGTAACATTGGCTGAAACCATCAATACTCTTCAAGTACATTTCGGATGGATTTAAATCAATAATAATCCATTATAAAACTCTCCTTGTTAACCTCAATAGATGTGCGATCATTGAAAATATGCTAAACGAACTTGTCTGATTAATTTTCTGCTCGCTGCGTGTCCTCCGATCCTGTTCAGATTAATTAAGTCGAATCCAATACAAGCAAATCAATAAAAACACGTTTATTAAAATAAATAATTAATTATGCAAATAAAATAGAACATGCTTTTTACAAAGCTGCACAGGCAAATAAATAAACCTAAATCTAAAAATGTGTTTGGGTTTAGCGGCCCTTTTCAGCGGGTTTTGCTTTGGTTTCTTCAGCTGCCTTCAGAGGCTCCTTGGTGTTCTCAGCTGGCTTCTTCTCCTCGACTGGTTTGGACTTTGAGTGCATGTTTTGCTTCTGATTTTCACGCTTTCCCTGCTTCACTGTGTCTGAGCCGCGACGTGCCTGCTCCTCCGGCTTCTGAGCCGCGGGTTTTTCCTTCTGAGCGGATTTCTGCTCGGGTTTGGTGGCTTCGGCCGATTTCGCCTTTTCCAGCTTCTCTAAGGGTTTGTGAATTTCTCCGGCTGGCTGTTTGGATTCGGGGCGAAGCGGCAGCTCTTTGACTGCTGGCGAGTCGCCCTTTTGCTCAACGGCTGCAGGGGGTTTGGGCAAAACCGCCCCCGAAACGCATGCCAGAAGTGCGCATAAAATAATCTGAAATTTGAAGAAAACTTTTGGGTTCTGCTGCTTTTGCGGGCTGCGAAAAACTTACCAGTTTGAACATGTTGGCTGGATCAGGCTAGTTAACTCGATGAGAAGACGGTGAACGAATATACCTGATCAGGTTGGTATCCAGGAATATATAGCGGTAAAAATAGCCCCTCTTAGTCGCCTTTAACGTGCCATTGGCTTCGCACTACCTTGACGTTTCGCTCATTTAAGGCTTCGTTTGTTTTGCACCGAAAAAAGCCTGTTTAGGTGCCATAAAACATGCAATCGCCGAGTTTTTTTCATTTTTTTTCCCGTGATCAATATTAATTTGTTTATCATGCCGGCTGGCGCTGTGGCGACTAAGCGTGACGGATTCATGTTGGTATTTTGTTGCTTAGAAGGAATTTTTCAATTCTGTGTCTTCAAACCGCCTTAGAAATTCAAGGAACTTTCTTAAACTCGCAAGTTACTAGTGAAGCAATTTTCGAGGTTTTAGGGAGGATTTGAGCCACTTGGTAACTGTGGAACCAGAGCAATCTTCATTTTTTCACTCTCAAAAGGAAGCTTTGGGAGAATTCTACAGAAAGTCCCCTTGTCTCTAGTCGGGTATTAAAAACCGTTTTCTACATATGAACATTTGAACTTTCCTAAGCCATTTAAAGGCGAATTTAGATTTATTGCGAGTTTTATAAGAAATGTGAAAAAATGCAGGTTTAATCACAAATCTTTAATATTTAAGGCCGTTTTATCAAGCAACTCTTCTATATGCAAAACACCGATCGTAGTTCGACAATTGTCGCGGTTTTGGTGATGCTTTTTTTACTCCTAAAAGAAAACTCTAGGAAAATTCTGTCGAAAGTCTTCTTATGTCTAGTCGGGGAGTTTAAACCGTTTTCTTGCTATCAACGTTTGGACTTTCCTAAGCCATTTAAACTGCTTTTGTTCAATGTTTTTGGAAAAAGTGGCTTGAAAAACACAGTTTTTGCTTCTGGTAAACTGGACACAAAAAACTGGAGGCAAAAACAGATTTTATGTGGCAGCTTCCAAAAGGTTCTTCGCTTTTATGCCATTACAAAAGTAACAGTTTTCGAAGCTGTTGAAAGGGCGGCGCCTTAGAAAGAGGCAAAGCCCTGTTTAGAGCCCTAGAGGGTTTGGATGAAGAAACACAAAAATCTGTAATGTTTTCCAATTGGTTTACTTTCCTACTCAGTTATTACAAAGTCACTTAGTAATGGGCGGCAACCAAAGGGGCGGCAGCGTATACTTGAGGAACTGCATGCACGACGGGGGCGGCAGAGTAAACCACTGGGGCGGGAGCGGCCACGTGGACTACAGGGGCGGCCTTAGCTACAACTAATGAAGGGGCGGCAACTACGGGGGCGGCATGGACAACTGCGCTGGATGGGTGGACAATGTTGGTGGCCTGGACGGATTTGCGCACTTCAGGACCGGACACGGTTACTACAGCTGGAGTATGGGCGACCACTGGGGCGGCTTTCAGGACAACGGGGGCGGCTTGCACTACAGGGGCGGCATGGACAATGGGGGCTTGTTCGATGATGGTTTTCACTTGGGGTGGGTCCACGATGGTCTGAGCCTCCACGCTCCTATGGTAGGTTCCATGGGAAGAGACGACGGCAGTGGGGATGATTCCAGCTGAGGCGAAAGCCAAAGTGGCGGCAAGAACCAACTGGAGAGGAAATTAAATGATTTCCCCGTTTGAACCGTTGAATAACCAAAAAAGCAAAAAAAAAATACTTACAAACTTGTACATGTTGCTGGGATAGAAGTGTGGATTACTCGACGTGTGGTCAAATTATAATTTTGAATGGCCAAAGCCCTCCCTTTTATACCGATTTGGGTCCGACAGATTCGGAAAAAAACCTGGCCAATCCTTCCGTGTTGCGTGAATATTATGCGGACGCGCCCAATTTCGACCTTGTTAATTAAATTCGCCTTGTGTATGTGTGAGTGTGTTTGTCTTAGTAAAGTTTCGAGTATCTTGAATCAGTCAACAAAAGCCAATAAGCCGGTTCTTCCTAGTCGAAAACGGTCATTGAAATTTCAAAGTCACTCTTCATGGTACCCACTTGGTACGATTTCCTTCGATTATTGTCCATTAACAATGTCAATAAATTCGCACGAAATCGCTCAGAGATTGCGTGTGCTTAATGAAAAATGAAGCAACGCGAAGAAAGGAAGCAGCGCAACTGACAAAGGTATTAGGAACTAAAAAATTTATGTAAAAGAACCAAAAATTAAATAGGACAAAGTGAAACCAGCAGACAGGAAGCGCACGCAGAAGCAAAACACTATCCTGCTAATGTGCCCAATCTATTACCAGCTAAACAGTTATCTGATTGTTTTCAGTTCCAAGCTCTCAAATGTGACAGTCGAAAGAATTATGGGGAAAACAATCAGAAGACCATAAACAAACTAAAACAATAGCAAAAATAATAGCAATATTAATGCAAATAAACTATTGTTTTGTTGTCAACTTGATATTTTTGCTGTTTGTCATTATTTTGGATTTGCTTGACTTTTTTCGCTGGTTCGTTTGCACTTGTTTTGCTTGAAATCGTACTTAAAACAGTAACTTACATCAATAAAAACAAACAAAATTAATACAAAAACAGCAAATTCCTTTTGGAAACTCACTCAAATTGAACGAATTTCAGATCAAAACAAACTTACGAAATTAAATAATTTAATGCTGAATACGAAAGTGTATTAACAATTGAACAGATGGAAGAATACATCGAATAAATGACAAAAACATGGGCAGGAAATGGGAGATGAGAAATACAAAATACACTTAATAGAGCAATGTCTAATTTTCAAAATAGCACCAAATAATAGTACTTAAGTGAAATTCATTAATTTAAAAAACAATCAAAATTTGGGAAAGACACAAACTGGTCGAAAAAGTCGAAAAACTTGCAAGGAAATGGACAGATGCTAAAACTTCTGAAATTTAAAGCAAAAATGAAGTATCACGACTAAATAAAGAAAAAACAAGCGAAACTAGAAAGACAGAAATTCCATACAGAAAAAACACTAAAGAGCGTAGGAAGTAAATTTTAATTCGAGAAGTAAATTTTCTAATAAACAAGTGAATGAAATCAAGAAAACTATAAAGAATTACGCAAACTGTAATGATTGAAAAAGAACAGCCAGAGGCGAAAGCAAGATTCGATAAAATAAACAAGAACAAACACGAATAAAAACACAGCAATTGGCGGTCGAAGAAATAACTAAAGAATTCGGAAAAATTGGCGAATTCTAAAATAATAAATCAATGTAAAAAAAGCTAAAGAAACCTAGTAAAACTAGCGATGTTTTCCTCACATCTCAATCAAAATCTCGGTAGATTATAAGCATCTTTGACCAGATAAACCCAATTTAAACTTATGGCATAGAAATCCACCGCAAATAATAATAAAGTCAAGGTACTGCGTGGTATTACAAAAGATAATTTACGGTATTTTCAACAATCAGCCGATCATGGGTCAAAAATATTGCTTGAAAGCCACGATTGTTCAAAAAATCAGCTTAGTAATGACCTAGAAAAACATTGTAAATTTTCGTTTTTCCTTCGCCAATCGCCAGCCATTCACTTGAAGGAAAAATGGGAGTTGAGAGTTTGTGCGGGCCCGAATTTCCATCGGCTATTTTAGCGCCACTCAATTGTTTAATCGGTCAGAAAATAAATCTGAGTCAAGGTAACAAGCTATGGATGATGGATGATCCTGGTGTCCACGTTTATGCAAATCCTCCGGTGTTTAAATTGAGGCAGTGGAAAAATGAGAGAACATTTGTCTAAAGCGCCATCAACCTTGCCCTTGTAAATGTTGTTTCAATTGATTGGACTTGTTTTTTTTCTTAAGGCTTAATTCAATTTAGCGTGACAAGTGCACACTTGAAAATGCAATGTGGGTCATGGGATTTATCATTATTAGCCAGTCTGAGTTATTAGTTGCAGTCAAACAGTTGACGCGAAAGAATAATTCGCCAGCAGAAACTCTGATTTAAACTTGTCGCTGACAACTGGGTTTCCGTTTTTTTTTTATTCTTTTCCCTTTTACCAGCCGAGAAGAAGCCAAAGTTTCCCCGAAAACCCTGAACCAGTTCGGTTTCAATGGGGGGCGCTTTAATTGTGAAAACTGTGCCTTTTAAAATTGAATACGATATTTTAATGAGGCTAATTTGGAGCCCCCATTCTGCAGGAAAAAGACCCGCTTTTCGGCCTTGATGTCGCCGCTCCTCTTTATTTATGTCCCATTTAAATAATTTTCCTTTAATACTCTTTGCCAGACCGTGCATAAGTAATTTTTACGTTCGGACTTAGTGTCGCAAGTGCAAACGGGATTCGGTTTTTTCCCCATCAAACATTCATAAAACTCCTTGTATTTCGGGTTTTTCAATCGAAAGCCCTTATGAACATTGTAGGTTTTTATAACTGTGTTTTTCGCTATTTATTTTGTCAAATTTTTTAATCATTCTTACGGTAAATTTACCTGCTGTTTATGTGCTGCGCTCTTTAGTGTCTTCGTTTTTGGGTTTCTAATTTCAATTGCTTCTACCTTATTTGATTTTTGCTGCGTTAAATAACTACATTGTTAAACCCATTTTTACCTTTAAATTGCCTAAAAATGGCAGCATTTTTTAAATCAGTTCATTTCCTTGCAGGTTCTGGTTCGACCGAATTTTCAAATAGTTGTTCTTCCTTGTCTGTGTTTTTTCGAAAAAAAATATTTGGTGTAATTTGGGAAATTTTTCTATTCGTTAAATGCTTGCTCAACTTTCTAATTCGGGTTTAAATAGCTTTTTAGTGCAGGTTTTTGCAAAACATTCTACCTTGCCTCGCAAGTTTTTGATCAATCGGCTTATTTTTCATTATTTTTTCCCGTTCGATGTGTGTTTTTAAACTATCTTCAAATGGTATTTTTAATTTTCTTGTGTCTTTTTGTATTAATTTCGTCTATTCGAATTAATGTCTCACTATTTCAAACTAAGCAATTTCAACTAATGCTTTCGAAACAAAATCAGCGAAAAAGTCACGCAAATTAAAAACAAAAAAAGAACAATACAAGTAAACAACGAAAACAATAAATTGACATCACAACACCAGTTTTTTGGTGAATTTCTGGCGGGATTTTTTAAGTTTGGTTGGGCTGACGTCTTAATTGAGAGCATAGAATTGAAGAAATCGGCAAACTTAGCAGCTGGCAATAGATTTACAGTGTTATTGTTTTATTTCTTATTGTGCGTTTCCTGTATTCCCGTTTGCCTTTGACCTATTTGATTTTTTGCATTTTTTTAAGCATTTTCCAACTTTCAAATAAACTTTTTAGTTTTTCTGGAAACTTAAAAACTTTTTAAAACGTTTGAACTTCATTTTTTATTTAGAGAAGTTTCAAGTTTTTAACCGGTTGCGACCAAAACCATTTGCGTTTGGCTGATTGCGCCCTTTTGCGCGAGAAAAAATAACTTCAAGTCATTTAAAAATGCCATTTTTCTTCAATCCTTGTTGGTGAGTTTTTTTGTTAATTAAATTTGAATAAAGTCGGTTTTTACGTGCGGCTTTTATCATATTTTCAATCAGACAGAACGGGAAATTGAATTTTTTCCAATGCGTGCAAAATACGACTTGATATTCCAACCGCCACCAAATGATTTAGTTATGGGAATTATTTGTTTGTTACATTTTTTAGTTTCGCAATTGGATCCCCAGTCAATAATGTGTTTTGCTGAAAAACGCATTGTTGTCAATTTTAATTAAAGTATTGACTTTTTAATAACAACCAACACTTTGTTTATGAGTTTGTTTGTCTTCTTGATATTATTCACTGTGTTTTGTTTAAGTTCCTTTTGGGTAATAATGCAACCTAAAATTGCTCAAAAAGGCTGAAGATTTGCGTCAATTGTGGATAAAAAATATTGATTTTTTGAGCAGGCTCAGGTACTGATAGCGCGAAATAAAAGTGGTAAACAAAGGAATTTTTAATTGAACATATGAAAATTGGTGTCTTGTAAACTCTTGAAAAAAGCCGCAGAAGTCGTAAAAAGGATTTCGACAAAGAATCGTTTATATTTACAAATTGTAGGGTTTTTTCTTCAATGGGCCCTAATTTTTTTTCTTTAAATTGTTCAAAACATTTTAAAATATTCAAACCTTTTGCATATTCGAAAAAACCTCAGGGCTTTGACCCTTAAAACGGGCATGTTAGTCTTTAAATCAGTAGACGTTTTTTGCGGCAAAAACTTGGCAGCCTGGGAGGTCATTGGGAGAAAAATGGTATAAAACTTTAACAAAAACCGAAAGCGAGCATTAGGGCAGTACTGCAAACATTCTGTCTAAAAGATATCCTTCGATATGGAATTTAGAGCCTTGCTCCTTAAATTCCTTAGAGACAGGATTTCTGTATTTCTCCTGCAATGATCCGCAATTCCTGACCCACATCCAGCACGATTCTGTCGCGTCGCGCGAGTGAAACACAAATTTAGCCAATCAACGGTTTATTTGCAAAACGTCCGGCTGAAAGGCTTGCAGCATTTGGCCCTTCTTGAGGACTTTGTCTCTGTTCCAGGTTCCTGGCGATTTGGTGGCCGCTGAAGTGCCAAATCACCAAAGGCCGCGCCCGGATCATGATCATGCTGATCTGGTGCGTCTCCCTCACCATAACCGTTCCGTGGGCGATTGTCTTCGACATGGTGCGCATCTATAGCGACGTGCCCGAAGTGCAGCTCTGCATGGAGGTCTGGACTGATCCAATCGACGGCTCCTTCTACTTCCTGATGGTGAATTTCGGCTTCGGCTACATTCTGCCGATGATTCTCATCACCATGTGCTACGTGCTGATCTACATCAAGGTGTGGAAGCGCCACATTCCCACCGACACAAAGGACGCCCAGATGGAACGGATGCAGCAGAAGTCCAAAGTGAAAGTGGTGAAGATGCTGGTGGCTGTCGTTATTCTGTTTGTGATTTCCTGGCTGCCGCTCTACGCGATTTTTGCCCGGATCAAGCTGGGCGGAGAGATCGAGCAATGGGAGGAGGATATTCTGCCGATCGCCACGCCCATCGCCCAATGGCTGGGCGCCTCCAACTCCTGCATTAACCCGATTTTGTATGCGTTCTTCAACAAGAAGTACCGCAAAGGGTTCGTGCAGATCATCAAAAGCCGCAAATGCTGCGGCAGGCTGCGCTACTACGAAACCGTAGCCATGATGTCCTCCTCCACCAGCATGCGGAAATCTTCGCACTTTTACAACAACAATTCCTCGAAAAAAGGCCCACCGATTACCGATACCACTGTTTCGTACATATCGAACAACACCGGGGTTTAAGCTCTGGAAACGAGCTCCCTTTTGCTGATTATCCTCCTCAGGAACAGCCGGATTTTTGCGGAGAACCGATCGCCTACGATGGAAGGAGCATGGCCCCTGGACTGACAGCCTAAGAGATCCAATCTATTCAGGCCAGTTAGGATTTTATGACTAGTACATGTATTGTATTGTGATCGCACTCACAAATGAACATTGGCAGAAACAAGAGAACATATTTTCTATAACTTTTTCGCTAGAGGAAATAGCTTTTGGTAATTTTAAGCTTTAACAATAATGTACAGATTTATGTTAGGGCGTGTTCAGGCTTGGACCGCTTGTTCTAAGTGAAATGAACCGACTGGAACCCGGAAAAGTGTGCTGTTTGCTTTCATCTAGAGCAAGCTCTTCATTCTGATAATTTGAGGGAACGCCGCTGTACCGGGTGGTTTCCATCAAGATTCTCAACAGATTTTACAGTGACATGATTAGGTTTACAGTGACATGATCATCTTCACTTTTACAGCGTCTACGAATTCTTCATCAGTATCTTCTTCATACTTCACCGTTGCTTGGAAAGTTTCCTCGTTTTCCTCAGCTCTTTTGTCAAAGTTTTCTTTGCTTTCCATGGATCAATCAGTTTAAATGTGTCATTGGCTAGTCCTGTAAGCAGCGTAGAACACGCTGATCTTGAGCTGCTCTATTTAAAAAGTCTGTGGGGTCCAGTTCTTCTGTGTGCCACCAGTAAAAGCTTTTAATGCGTAGCTGCTTCCAGTAAAAGTGTGTGGGTTGATCTTCAATTAGAATCCATTTGAAACTGGGAACTTTTCTTGTTGTGCATCTTCCGATTGAACGGCAGATTTTGAGTTTGTGAACTGGTTTTGAACGTTTCTGAGGACAAAATATCTACAGTGTTTTTTGTAGAGCGGCTTCACGATGGTCTAGAATTTCTGGAATATCATCTTCTTGGGTTTGCACAAGTTGCCTCCATTGGGAAAAAATCAGGTTTTTCAAACTCCATCTCAGATTTGATATTCTGCTTCAATTTCTTCTCTAGCTTGATTAGCTAGCTAAATTAAGTCCAGTTCATTATTGGTGATTTCAATTGCTATGGAATCAGAATGAAAACATTTATTTGGGGTAATTTAGGAAATTTTTCTGTTCGTTAACTGCTTACTCGATTTTCTAATTCGGCTTTAAATAGCTTTGTAAGGTAGGTTTTTTCTAAATATTCTACCTTGCCTGGAAGATTTTTAATCAATCGGCTTATTTTTCGTTAATTTTTCCAGTTCGGTCTTTGTTTTTAACGGTTTTCGGTCTGTGCTTTTTTAAACTATCTACAAATAATAATATTACATTTCTTGTTTCTTTTTGTACTAATTTCGTCTATTCGAATTAATGTTCTACCACGATTTCAAACTAAGCAATTGCAACTAATGTTTTCTACAAAATTTTTAAAAGCAAAGTTTTGCAAATTAAAAACAAAAGAAGAATAATAAAAGTAAACAACGCAAACAATAAATGAATGAGATTGAGAGATGAACACCAGTTTTTTGGTAAATTTCTGGCACGATTTTTAAAGTTCGGGTTCGGTTAAGGTCTTAATTGAGAACATGGAATTGAAGAAAATCAGCAAACTGATCAGCTGGCAATAGATTTAACGCTTTTACAGTGTGCGCGGCCTGTATTCTCGTTTGTCTTTGACCTATTTGATTTTGTGCATGTTTTGAAGAATTTTCCAACTTTCAAAAAAACTTTTTAGTTTTTCTAGAAACTTAAAAACTGTTTGAACTTAATCTTTAATTAAGAGAAGTTTAAAGTTTTTAAGCCGTTGCGACCAAAACCATTTGCGTTTGGCTGAATTGTGCCCTTTTTAAATTTGTCTGATTTACAGAAAAAATAACTGCAAGTCATTGAAAAATGCCTTTGTTTCAATTAGAAAGAACGGGAAATTTACTTTTTTCCAGTGCGCGCAAAATACAATTTGATATATAAATTACTAAATAATTATACAACTTGATATAAACTAGAAACTTTTCTTGGTTAGCATCTTTCGATTGAGCGGCAGATTCTGAGTTTGTGAACTGGTTTTAAACGTTTCTGAGGGAAACTATCTTCAGTGTTTTTTCTTGAGCGCTTGCACGATGGTCTACAATTTCTGTAGTTTCATCTTCTTGGGTTTTCACAAGTTGCCTCTACTGGGAGAAAATTAGGTTCTTCAAACTCCATCTCAGATCTGAAATTCTGCTTGATTGATTTCAGTTGCGATTGAATCAGTGAATTTCCAGGCGAAACTTGTTGAAAAATAACTATATCCATTGAAATTAGAGATGAAACTGATGAGTTTTTCAAAAACAACCTTTGAAGATGCAGGCCACTCGCGCTTGCGAAACGTCGGGAAAAAATGTCACTCCACAACAATCCAAAGGGCCGAAAAACTGGCAATTTTTTAAATGATTTTCAAGAGATGAATATGGTTCTTCTGCATCACTCCTAGTCATATCGGGAATAAAAATTGAAAATTTGCAGGGAGAACCAAAAAAATATACACCTACTAAGCCCCTTTGCGCTCACTGTAAAAGATTGTTGAATCCTTGATGGTGCCACCGTTGTATAAGAATCGACCCCAACTCAACCACACATTTGTATTTTAGAGAACTTTCGCATCACCTGAGCGTGTCTTAAAATTATATTTTTTTATCGAAAAAATATTATTTTAATAACATACATATTACGCTTAATCGTCACGTGTGTGTAGTCGGGTCGCAGAGAATATTCTATATTTCTACACATCAATTTTATTGTTTGAAAATTTTGGTGTTTAGAGCTTGTTAGAGCGCCCATTTGTAAACGAGCTTGAATTGTTGCAACACAACCTTATTGTAGAAAAACTTCACTGTTGCAAAATGAATAATAAGCCATTAAGCTGCCAATATTTGTACTGTGTTTTAGTATTAATTAGTTAATTAATTAATTGAGGGCTTAATAATAAAGTAAGAAATTAATGAATTAGTGAAGAAAAAGAAAAATCAACTGCCGAATCGGTTTCAATGTATTTTTCAGTACAATAATGCAATTTTAGTGTTTAGCGGTAATTCGATCGACTAGTCGTACTGTTGTTGTTAGTCAAGGCTCACCGTCGCTGTTAAGTACATCATCAGACACTAAACAGTGTTTGATGTCCAATAATTGCCAAGGATCAAATTGTTGTTGTTGTTGTTGTTGTTGTGTGAACAAACATACTTAAAATAAGATTTAGCAAATTTAAGCAAATTAAGACAAATAGACAATCCTCGAAAAATTCTCATTGAAAATGGCATCGAATTAATTAAGCGGCTGCACTGTGTATACGAGCGCTCTATTTCTAGAAGAAAAAAAGCGAGGTTTTAGCAATACTTAGCCAGCAAGTTTCACTGATTGGTTGTAGTGTTTCAATACAGGGTTGTAGGACTTATTCTAGTTAGATTCTAAGACTTTTAATGTCGCCTCCTGGTAAAAACGGGGTATTTGGGGGATTTTGCAAAGCCGTCTTTACCAGGCGGGTTTTAAACAATTGTACGTCCGAGCGTACCAAGTAAAACGGAGGTTGTTTAGATAATAACTTTAGAACATAATTCATAGGATTTTAGGAACATTATTTCAATTCGCCGATAAATCAAGAATAATTCTACTAGCAGGACACAGAAATGCGGTTTTATATCCATAGTTAAATGATGGTATTTGCACCGCCACGGTCCACTTGAGCAAAGGACTTGTTGCCATTCTAAATCGACCAGGTGAATGGATAGATTTTCGCTCACCCGGTATAGAGTAGACAGACAGTTTTTAGCAAACTTTAGGTAAAACTGTATGCAGTAGGTATACAAATGCTTCACTCATATTGGGGCTGTAACCGTAGATTGTGATTAATTTTTCTGTTAAATACCTACATAATCTACAGGGTGGTCCAAACTTGAGCGCGCCAATTTTTTCAATTTTAACAGTGAGTGAAATGGCAAATTCGCTGTTTGTGAGCTGGGGTGTGTCATATTTTTGATGCTCCAGCTTGGGTCACCCTGTGTTTTTCAAAAAGGTCATCAAGGCAGAAAATTGGATTTATTCTAAAGCCCAATTCATCTAATTGTACTTAGGCAAAGTAGTTGAACTGATGTAGGTGAATGTGTAAAAGCAAATAAAACAATTTAAGACTGAGTGTTATAATTAATTATGGACTGCTTTCCTATGTAAAATAATGCTTTCCTATGAAAAACCTTTGCCAAATATGGAAAAAGTCTGCTCTTTCCAGCCAGATAAATAAAATGTTTGTACCTCGTTTAGTTTAAGAAAAAATATATGTTTGAATTTGAGCGGGCAATGAGTATTAAGGTGCGTCCAGACCGCAACGCAATACCGCGGCAAACATTCGCGAACGTTCACACACAATTTGCGCCTTGCGTCTACATTGCTGCAACAAAACAACGCACAAGAAGGCATATTTTTAACCCAGTTCTCAAACCGTTGGCAAAAATTAGACTTTAGCGCGATAGAAGTGGAAATTTAAGCGTTGTAAACCAGATGAGTCTTCTATAGGGTGTGAAAGTTTCAAGTTGCTGCATGCTCTAAACGGGAAGTTAGGAATTTTTAAAGAAAAGCGTGCAGTTGAGTAAAAGTGCGAATTTTCACTCTAAATAGGGCAATCAAAGTGAAGCATTCACAAATCATGGCATATTTTGCGAATAGCATTCAAAAGTCGCCCGATGAACGGCGAGGTTTGTTTATCTTTACCCGAGAAATCAACTTATTTTAACCATTAATGCCGATTTATAAATCGCACGTTTGACGCATGTAAGCTTCATGTTGATGATGATTGTTGCGATTTAGGCAATCGCGATTTGATATACGTTAATGTTCGATGACTTTGGATGCATGAGAGATTAGAAGAGTTTGTTCTGCTAATTAATTCTAATCTTTTGTTTATTGCATCGGTCATTAGCTAGAATTAGACTGAGGATGTTTAGTAAATTTCCAATTATTTAACGGAAAAGAATGGCAGCTTTGTTCAAGATTCCTCAAAGGCACACAATCACAATTTTGAATCAGCACCTTGAAAAGTCTTGGTTACGCTGAAAGCGTCACATAGGATTAAAGTGCTTGATATTTAGAAGATTCCTAAATCTCCAGAGAGGCAAAGCACTATATAAATCTCAATTTCTTATACGTAAAAACTTTCGAATCAGTGCTTGAGTTGCTCAAATTTGAAAGTTGCAAACCACATTTTTAGAGGCCACTCAGAGAGCGACGTCCTGCACTGATTTGCACCCCCAACTGCAACAAATAAAAAAAATTACAGGTGGAAAATGTCAATTTAGCACAATTTAGCCAAAAATTGCGGTCGCTACAATGCAAAGATCCAAATTATTATTACACTCAGATGTAAAGTGAATACATTTTGCAAATGAAGTTCTGAACCGTTCGAAAATATTTATAAAAATAACGAATCGGTTTTTAGTCTGATTCTAGTTAGCGATAGAAATTTGAAAAGAGCCCGAAATAATTCAGGTTGTACAATTGAATGTTTGCGAATTGTCCCGAACGTTCGCAGTTCCACTGAACCCACATTTTTGATTATTAAAATTTAGGCAAAAAATCCTAAATCCTTTTTTGCACCAGTTCTATCGGATTTGGATATAGTGATTTTACTCAGGAGAATTTTGCACGCTTTACAACATTGAAAATCGGTTATTTTCTTGATTTTTAAAGAGCAAATGGTTTGCCTTTTTGCCCCTTTTAGCACTAGTTGGCAATTTTGGCACGCTCCACACATTTGAAGAGCTTTCAGCTTCTGCTTCTTCATGAAACCAAAATCGTTCTTATCACCGTTTTCTTATTCGGGAACTTTGATCCGTAGTTGAGAAATAATATTTTGAACCATCAAGGGTCACAAGATGGATGAAGCGCTGATTAAATTGCAATTTTTGTAGCCAAAAAGTGATGACATTAAACCAAAACCACTGTTTTATTTACTGTTATTAGAACTTTGCAATGTTGAATTCCAGAGCTTGGTTAGGGGCGAAGTCCTGCTGTAATTTAAATTTTCATCACTAAGCTTTCCAAAGAGCTCGAATTTCGTTGGAGCCTGTTTTGCATACCTGCGTACTTGAATATTGCGATTCAGAGAATGTAAACGGGCATTCTTAATGTTTGTTTACGTTAACGTACCACACAATTATCAATTTTGTTCTGTGCATCAATTTATGTTAAGATAATTGCTTAATTAAGCGGATTGTGGAATGGGAATTTGAACCCATCTACTTCATGCTGATTGGGTTCTCGTGTCAACTGAAAAAAAACCTGTTTTGCATTGATTATGCCTGAAAAAACGGTTCATCTTTTTCAATCATGAATTTAATTGTAGTCATTCATTAATTTTTATTACTTTGAACTCTCAAAAGCAACACAAACCGCAATTGTTTGAAGCCCTTTGTTATGGAGTTGTGATTTTTTGAAGATAGCCCTGCGGTTTACCGAAATGTAAAATTGAGAAAAGTTTTAAATTTCAATACAAGTTGGAGAAAATATGGATTCTAACTGAAACTCTCTGAACTTTTAGAAGCTTTTATGGGTCTGGTAATTGTCCTTAGATTTTTTCTTTTGGATATATAATTGTGACTCAAATATGACGTTGCTTTTGAGTAAAAGTGCGGATTTTCCGTCGCTCTAAATAGTGCAATCAAAGTGAACCATTCACAAAATTCACGGCAAATGACAATTGAGCAAACGATTGATCGGAGGGCGAGTTTTTAATTTAGCATACAAAAGTCGCCCCATTAACGGCGATCGATGTTTGTTGATTTTTACCCGTGAAAGCAACTTTGTTTACGCTAAATATCCAAACCAGTTGGATCGCGGACTGGAAATTTATAGAAAATTGTCAATAAGAAAAAAAACTGAAATCGAACAGCATAGCAATACAATGAATCACCCAAAAGACCAGCGAACAAAACGATTCTATCATTATGTAAGTTGTTGATAAACGGGATAAAAGTACGAATTTACTGCCATTTAGGCACGAACGGTTGACCATCTCACCTGTTAATTGCTGAATGTAATTCACATTTATTTTCAACTTTGTGTGGATTCTCTTTGTGTGTTCCTGTACTGTGTGCTTTTGGGGTTTCGGGTGGAATCGGGTAGTTTTCAAAAAACAGGTAAGAAGGATTATTAATCTAGAACCCTTAACTTGAACTGAGATGAGTTTTCAAGAAACATTTAATGTTTTATTCAGTCTCCTATTTATTTTTCTTTTCAATCAAATCACTGGATTTTCGACTGAGTTTATATAATAATACAGATGTTTCTTTTTTTCTCCAGGTGGATCAATGCTGCTTTCGGTAAGTTTAGCATTACTTTTACTGTGAGTGACGCTGGCCAACTTATTTAGATTTTGCGCTGTTTTTCCAATTTTTTTTTCAGCATAGCATAATAGATGTATGTATAATGCATAATTATGCATTTCGCAGAGGTGATTACCTAGATCACATGTTTGTTAAAAATGTACACTTTTTTTTTGGCTAAACGATTCGTATTAGGGATTTTTAGGGGCTGGGATCCGTCCGAATAATTCCGTTTTTATTGTTTATTGCTATTTATTGCATTATTGGAGGCACGTTGAAACGTTGCGTGTGATCCTGGCCAAACCATTTAGCTTTCGGGCTGCTTTTTGTACCTCAAATCACTTTTTTTTAATGTATCAGCTTTGAGTAAGTTTGGCATTACTTTTCTCCTGGCTGCCATGCAGATGTAGAACTTTTGTCTTCCATATTGTTGACTTGTGTTTTATTATATTATTGCTCGTCATATTTATTCACCGAGGAACATTCTGGGGGGGGGGGACGAGGGAGATTCTGGATTCTGGCTAGGTTTTTTTCATTTTCAAATTTTAAATCATATTTAATACGTTTGCGAATGAGGTTTTCTTCAAGAGAATTTTCTGCGCTTATATGAACTCTCACAATTTTGTTACTAGCTTTTCTTTGTGATTTATACCCTAATTAAAGCGGTTTTCGGATAATTAATAATACCGCTCGATTTTTTGAATCGCAAATAATTTTCACTGAGTTTTTCGACATTAACTAGTCAGGTTTCCTACTGTGGAAGCTTTTTACTTGAAAAATTTAAATTTAAATATAAAGCGAGTTTGTTCTGCTGTGAAATACACTTTTTAATTTCTAATTTAATTTAAATAATTATTGTTTTTTGCGGTAAACTTGAATTTTGCTGTTTCAAATTTAAAAAAAATATAGCACAGAATCCAGACTAAATTACCTAAAGATAGGTGAATATATTTTTTATTACTTTGTGATGGTCTAGCGCTGATAGTTCAGAGATGTTCTGAGGAGTTCTGAGGTCTAGCGGATAGCGTTTTAAGCGATTTTGCGCCTTTTTTCCAAATTTCACACACTACCAGTGATTTTTTAGAAACATTCGCGCTAAAAATTTTCAGCAGACAGGATCCGTCCGATTATTCCCGTTTTTTTGCTCTCCAGCACCCTTCAGGCTTTAAGTGGTCCAGATCAAGATTATAACCGGACTTGCGTCTGTTCTTCTAAATTTAAGCCAGAGCATTGAGTATTTTTGAGGAAAAATCTAAGTTTTAGGGAATTTCAGCCATCTGGATCCGGTCAGCGTCAACTCTATGGCAACCAGGCGTTGTAGTTTTTCTTTGAATTTATAGAGCTTTTAGCGGATTTTATATTTCGGTTTTCTTTAAATGAATTAGCCCACTTGTTTTTGTTTTCTATGTATTTGTAGAATTTTTAATCATTTTTTTGCAGCGTTAAACTATTAATATTTTATTATCTCATTTAGGTACTTATTTTGCTCAAATAATTTTTTTCAGGTAAAACAGGTAACTCTTTAAAATGCTCTTATTTACTAATAACCACTTTTTCTTACAGCTTTAATCCGTTTGTGTTCATATTGTTGCTCGTAACGGAGAATAAAAGGACCAAATCGAAGAAGCTTTTTCATCTAACTGATAATTTTTGGAAGTAAGCTAACAATACATTCTCCAAATAAAAAACTTCAAAATAGCAACTTATTACTTTTGACGAGCTTTTCGTAATAGTTGTAGTAGGTAGTTCGTAGTGGTTATCTATTTGAATAATAGTTGGGGATGTTAAAGTTTCGGTCAGCATTTTAAAAAGAGATATTTAATAACAGTTGAGGTTCAATTTATTTAATTAAATCAAATTCAATACAAGAAAGAGCCTGCTGGTCAAGTTCAAACTTAGCAGGTAGTTACACTATTAGGGACCTTGTCCCAACTATTTACCTAATTTACAAATATAATTAAACCCATTCTAAATGTTAATATGTTTATGCCCTAATTATAATTGGTCAAAGGTACTTTAATTAAAAACAATTCTCAATTCTACATTTGTGGCAGCTGGTCGATGGGAGTAGCAAACTTGAAGTCAGGCGGGAATAGACTGGCTGCATGCGGGTACATTAATTTGTACGATTGTCTGATGGTAACATCAGCAACGCCAGCGATATCTCCAATTTCCTTCTGGCTCCGTTTGTCCTCTGAAGCTTGGGAGGCCATGTAAATGGCAGCAGCTGCAACTGAAATTGGAGAACGACCTGGTACTATATCAAGTTCCACAGCTTTCCGCGCTATGTGTGTGGCCGCTCTTTGGACCATGTTGGGTAGTCCTAGATTCGAACAGAATCGAGACATAAAGTCGCCAGTGGTTATTAGATCCACTGATGTTTCCAGAGCCTTTAAGATCAGCTTGAAGCATCGTCCAATCTCTCGTTTACTGATCTTGCTGACTGCACAAATTTCCTTGAATGTCCGGGGCACTCCCTCTTGCCGACAAGCTATGTATAAACAAGCAGATGCAATTGCATCGTTTGAACGCCCTTTTAAGTTTCTGCCATCGTGGACTTGTTTGAACAAGTTGTTCGCTCGGTCTACGATCGTTCTAGGTAAATTAATGCGGTCAGCCATTGCATTGATTTCTTTAAATGCGTTGATCAGGGCTCGGTCAGAGCTGTTCATTGTCCGACGATTCTGATAGCGTGCCACTCCGAAAGTATCATAACTGGCATCGCCCCGTCCAGGCCCAATCATTGTCGTCAAATCTGAGCCTCCTAATAGCGGATTTTCTGGTCCACCAACACGGGACGGATCAACTCCACTTTTCTCATTGCTGAATGTTCTCCATTCTGATCCCACGTCGATTACTCGATCGCCAACCACCAAACCACATTCTGAGCATATCTGATCTCCAGCCCTGTAATCTTCGATAAGGGGGGCCTCGGGATGAGAGGAACAACACACCTTATTTGCGTCATATCTGGAGGTGCTTGCCATTGTAATAGGAGGACGACAATTTGGCTGGGCTTAATTGAAGAGCTGTGGTTTCACTAAACAGCTCGGAACCATCAGGGTGGACACTTCACGTGAAATTTTGGGCAAACTTCAACTCAAAATTGCCCAATTTCTATATTGCAACACCTAAAAGACTGAAATTAGATGCTTATCGTGTTGCAATTAATGTAACTTATTTTTTATAGTTTTATTGGGCAAGAATAGCAAATAACTATCCGCTGAAAACGACTAGTTTCGTATTGTCAACTTACTGACACACGGCCACAGATCACAGAATCTGTGATACAGTGTTGCCAGATTCCTTCCCGTTCGATTTTGTTTCCTATTAAATTC